AACAACTTTCTTGATGATTCTTTCTTTTTTGATGATTCTTCTTTTCGTTGGTGATTCTTCTCTTCGTTGATGATTCTTTCTTTTTTTGATGATTCTACTTTTCGTTGATAATTCTTCCATTTTTTTATGATTATATTGATGACTCTTCTCTTCGTTAATGATTCTTTCTTTTTTTGATGATTCTATAGATGATTCTTTTTTTTTTGATGATTTTTCCTTTTTTTATGATTCTTCTTTTTGTTCATGATTTTTCTTTTTTTTTTGATGATTTTATTGATGATTCTTCTCTTCGTTGATAATTCTTTCATTTTTTGATGATTTTATTGATGACTCTTCTCTTCGTTGATGATTCTTTCATTTTTTGATGATTTTATTGATGACTCTTCTCTTCGTTGATGATTCTTCCTTTCTTTTATGATTCTATTGATAATTCATCTCTTCGTTGATGATTCTACCTTTTCTCATGATTTTTCCTTTTTTTATGATTCTTCTTTTCGTTGGTGATTCTTCTTTTTGTTGATGACTCTTTTTTTTGATGATTTTATTGATGATTCTTCTCTTCGTTGATGATTCTATTGATGAATCTACTTTTCGTTGATAATTCTTCCATTTGTTGATGATTTTATTGATACTCTTCTCTTCGTTGATGATTTTTCCTTTTTTGATGATTCTTCTTCTCGTTGATGATTCTTCCTTTTTTTGATGATCCTATTGATGATTCTTCTTTTCGTTGATGATTCTTTCTTTTTTCTGATGATCCTTTCCTTTTGCTGATAATTCCTCTTTTCTCATTGATGATTCTTTTTTTCCTAATGTTTCCTTTTTTCTGCAGAGTACTTTCTGAAAGGATAATCGGTAAATTGTAGCATCGCGAAGAAAAGATGAAAGGTTGATTATAAATCTTTGTGTTTATGGGTATTGTCGGTAAAGGGAATAGAATAGATATGACGTATTCATGAGAATGGCGAGAGAGGGTTTGTCAGGCTGATGTTTGCGATAGCGGCTCCTCGGATCGTTGGTAGAGAAAAACACAAAATAGTTGTGCTTCAGGCTCGCTTAAAGGCGAGACCGGACCTGTTTCCTATCACCTTTCTTCGCCTCCACTCTCTCGATGCTATTCCCTTTCCCCTTTGCAATAAAATCTGATTCGACGTCGATTTATCTACGGGCATTCCGATATTTCAGTCGCGGCGCGACATTTTCTTCCCCTAGCCTCACCCATCTCGCTTTTACCTTTTTACCCCCTGGTCCACCCTTTTTTCGCCCCTTTCTATTTTTTTCTCCTTTTCTTCCCATCTCTTCTCATGTCCACTAACTCGGATACACTATTTCGAATTCTATCTACGACAAAGTCTACGACTCCTTTAAACTGTATGAACAGTTTTTTTTATCTGAAATAAAAAATTTTGAAATGAGTATAAAAATAAGTATTCGCCATTTACCTTAATAGTAATAATTTTTATTAACTCTCTTACTCGGAGTAAATGAAATTAATTAATTTTATGATACGAGTTTCTTTCTCTCGTGAAATTGGTTTTTAAGATTCCGATTCTGTTACATTTATCGATTAATCGCCCTTTTTTGGGCGAAAGAATATAGGGTTGGGACGACCATTTATAATCGCCTTGTCAGTGATGTTTTGTAGGATATGACGATCTTGGCTTGTTCCAGTCTCCCCATATACGTAGGTGGAAACGGCCGTATACACACAAATGCAGGTGTAAAGCCATATAAACGACAGTAGAAATAAGAGACTCGAGAGAAGTTGGACATCTCACATTCTGACGAGATCAAAAGCCGGAGTCAATGCAGCAAATACGGATCGCGATCGCCGAGGCTCATAAACCAACGTCATTCGCGCATTCTCCCTTATTGCCTTTAGGCAATTTTTCCACTCTCCGCAAGCGCTCACTATTCCTTTGGGTGCATGTTCTCTATTCACTCACGCCAGTCCACTTTTAATTTAATAATACAAGCACACTTTTTTAACAAAAAGAGAGAAAAAAATTTAGTTGTACTTTTTTTCCTATTCAAGTTCTGCGAACGAAACTTTTTTCTGTTTGAATATTTTTCGAAAAAAAACCCGACCAATCATCATGGTCGGTTAAACTGACTTTAATCATTGATTAACTTTTATCCAGAGTTGGTGAAATTGGCCCTAAATGAAAATGGAAAATAATGTAAACTAGCAACTTCTTACTCCCTTTTTAAAATAAAATTAGCAATTCTAAAAAAAATAGAAAGTAAAAATTTTTAATTCAAATTTAATTCAAATTTTCATAAAAATAAAATATGAATTGAAATATAGTTTAAATATTAGTATGACTATAATAATCAAATATTCTGACACAGGGAATTCAGGGAATAGTCAGGAATTTCTATTAAAAGTACTGCAAAAAATTAAAAATTTTAGAATTCATAAAAAAATTCTGAATTTTTTTGTCTTTTTTGTTTGCCTCATAAACTATAAAATTGACAAGAATTCTAATAAAAAACCTTCAATTTTTTCTATTTCTCACAAAAATTTCTTTTTAAATAACTAAATTCTTGAAGAACTATCATAAAATTAATAAATCATTACTTAGAAATTATTTAATGAATAATTCTAAATAATTAATAATTTCAAAATTAATTAGATTTCAAAAGAGTTGCGTTTACAATCTTCATAAATAGATGATAATAAAATTCTTCTCCGAAATTAAATTATTTTCAAAAATAAATTTCAATTTTAATAAAATTCTTGGCAAAATTTCAATTATTTTCAAAAATTTTCTTCATTTCAATTATTTTCAATATCTACTATTTTAATAAAATTTTCCAAAAGAATTTAATTATTTAAATAAAATTTTAATAAAAATTTCACAGGAATTCAATTACTTACCAATAATTTTTTTTTATAAATTAAATTAAATTTCTTCGCACCAATTTTGAAAAATTTAAATTAAATTCTTTAAAAACTTAATATTATTTAAAAAATTTTCACAAAATTCTTTAAAAGATTTAGTTAATAAAATTGCAATTTTAATAAAATTTTTCTATTTAATTCAATTATTTTCAATACAATTCTTCTTCAGAATTTAATTATTTTCACAAATAATACATTTTTTTGGGTATTCAATTATTTAAAAAAATTTGAATAAAATTCTTCGCAGAAAATCAATTGAGGCCTTGGATCCAATAACTCGCCCGACGCTCGAAGGCACGCGCTAATGCCAGTCGGGTAGCAGTGAGTGGCCCAGAGGCGCTCACTGCTCACTGACTGGCAGTTGCGCGTTCCTCCGAGCGTCGGGCGAGTTATTGGATCCAAGGCCTCAATTATTTTTATAAATAATAAAACTTTTCTCGAGAATTCAATTATTTAAAAAAATTATGATAAAATGCTTTGTAAATTTGAAAAATTATAATAAAATTGATTATTATTAACTATTGAAATCACTACGAATTCTAATACAAAATGCGTTTACAATTTTCATAAATAAATAAAACAACAAATGGTTTTAATTTGAAATTTTATAAAATTTCAATTTTAAATAAATTTAATTAGAAATTTTAAAGAACTTAAATTTTTAAAAAAATTTAATAATTTAAAATTAAGCATTTAAATTTAAATTTAAGCATTTAAGTTAAAAACACTAAAAAATTGAATTTTGAAGAAGTTACAAATGATTGCAGAAATTCAATTATTTTCAAAATTGAAAAAAAATCTCGTCAAAGTCCAAATTAATATCTTTATAAATAAAAAATTATTCTTCAAAATTAAATTATTTTCAAAACTTTTAATAAAATTCTTGTCAAAATTACAATTATTTTCAAAAATTTTTCTTATTTCAATAATTATTCAATATCTATTAGGTATTTTAATAAAATTATGCGTAAACATTTAATTATTTTCATAAATATTAAAAATTTCACAGAAATTAAATTATTTACAATTTTTTTATAAGTTTCTTCTCAATAATTCAATTATTTTCAAAAATAATAAATTTTTTTACAGGGATTCAATTATTTTTAATATACAATTTTAATCGAATTCATTGAAAAATGAAACTATTTTTTAAAAATTTTATTAAAATTCGTCAAAAGAATTCAATTATTTAAAAATTTGGTAATAAAACTTTTTATAAGAATTAAATTTCAAGAAACATTTAATTATTCAATAAATAATTCACTTTTGCATTTGAATAATTGAATTCTCGCAGAATTTTATAATAAAAATTGATTTAAAAATGAATTTTAGATAAAATTGAAGGTAAAAAAAAATTGAGGGTTCTATCAAAGAGCCGGGTTATAAGTTATTGAGACTCAAAATTCTTCACCTCTAAATAAAAAAAAGTATTTAAAATTTCAATTTCTTAAAAACATTTCGCATTAAAAAAAAAAAACAAAAAAAATTTTAATTTATTTTTTTTATTTTCTTTAATGTTTTATAACAATATTTTTAAACTTGACAGATTATTCAAAAAGGTTTGAATTTGAATGTTTTGAAGAATTTTAATTCCTACCAAAAAATAATAATAATTAAATATTTAAAATATTAAAAAAAGAAATTATTGTTTTTGAATAATTTTGCAATTAAAGATATTCGTAAATTAACAGAACATTTTTTTCAATATAATTTTTTCCTTTATTTTCTAAAAATTCAAAAATTTTCAGATTCATTTTCAATTAAATTTTCTAATTGACAAATATAATTTATAAACATGTTTTACTTTTATTTAAAAAAAAAACTTTGAATTTTATTAAAACAATTGAAATTAAGAAATAGAATTGATGCAAATTATTTCCTTATTTTAACAAACGAATATAGTGGTATCATAATAAAGAACTATGGAATGAAAGGATGTATAATGATAGTATTAATTTTTGCAAGAAATTTGATGTTTACGCCAATGTTGCACAAAGTCATTTCTTATCATGTCACTTCTTTTGACGATCCACTCACTCCCGACTAACAGGTGAAGAGGGGAAAAGAAAATTAATCTTAACGAATTATGTTCCAGAATGGTCCATATTTGCACTAACAAGAAACGATCGTCAGCAACTGGGGAAAGAAGTTTGAAAAAAAACATTCCAATTATTGTACACAACAACACATATATATAGCAGTCAATGTAAATTGCCTCTGATAAAACGAAAGATTCCACACGTACGGAACGGTGAGTTTATTTTAAAAATTTTAATGGCAAAACTAATTAATTATAATCTTTGGAACGTTAATTAATTAATATTATTATTATTAACGTGGGTACTTATTAATAATTGATGTAAAAAATCTCATTTGTATTCACTAAAGCAATATATAACTTCGCTTTATTTAACATTTTTTTATAAATAATTATTTAATTTGTGCTATAATATTTAAGGTTCGGTATGGATGCTGGTGATTCCCTTTCGAAATTTCCCTTTCGAAATAAATCAATTAGATAATTGATTTTTTTTACTAAAAATATTGACTTTTTTTCCTTAAACTTCGTGTGGAAACCTGTCAAAATTTGACGTTTTCAGCCTTAAAGTCGATTATGTACGAAAAATTATAATATTAAGTAGGTACAACAATAATAAAAAAAAAAAAAAAAAAAAAAAAAAAAAATTACAAATAACTACAAATTAAGTACAAATGTATCTATTGGTTTATTTCAAAACATAAAATTGCCGTTTTACGTTAGGATTGTAAAAATATATGAAAATTATTTATTATTCTTCCTTCGCAACATGGAAAAAAATCAAGTTCTGCGCTACGCGGAGAATCACCGCATAAATGAAAAGGTATAATACTTTATTTGATCTGAAGGAAAATATTATAACTTATATATCTTAAAAATTATTGCATCGTGCTGTATAGAATAAACAAACTGTTCTAGCAGGAAAAAAAATGTTGAAGCAACATCACTGATTAATTGAAACATGATAATCCTGAGAATGTCAGTAGGATCTCCGTATTCGTTATATTAATACGACCTCCATTTTTAAAAGAATTAGAAATTAACACGCTTTGAATTTTAAAATTTTTGATTTCTCTTTTTCATGTTTTTTTTTGATATATTAGAATTTTTACCTGACGATATACGTAGTATGTGTTTATATGTTCCTTTTTTATTTTTTAATTTCGCGAAGCTTATTAAATGCACTGAAGATTAAAAATTTTGATATGAAGATATACGTCGTTGTCTCTCGTCGCGTCTTATTACCTATAACTTTGCGTGGCAGTGAATTTATCGTGGTCGTAAACTTTTGAATTATAACCGCGCTCTCGTATATATACCTGAACGCGCAAAACTGAAATGGAGACTATATTCTCATCCTCTCATAATTTTATAGATTGAAAATATAGATACGTTCTCGCTTTTGGATGCGACAAAGTCTTCTCATATATATATTTATATGTTTATACACGAAAGTACCCCGTTATGACCTTCGACGATCTTTATTATTTCTGGTTATTATCTTTCTCTCTCTCTCTCTCTCTCTCTACTATCCAATGTTGAATCTCGTATCTAATTACATCTAATGAGTGAGAATTTGTCACGGAATCTTTGATCATAGAAACACCTGGTGGATATATGTTGACTCTGGGATTCCGTAAAGTTTCTTATTTGTTAACTGTGAATGTTACGTAGAATCAAGCGGTGTAATATTTTTCTTTTTCTATATTCTCGTATTGGGATTTCCGTCTCTCTCTTTCTCTTTTTCACCCTCTGTAAAAAAGAATCGAATCACTTCGCTTCTAGTTTTCTAATTGTACTTGGTTTCGAACCAATAACGATAAATTTTTATCGTGACGACTCCAATTTTTTTTCTTTCTTCTTCTCTTTTAATTGAAACTATTTTAATCTTTCTGTCCTCGCACCAAAAGAACCCTCGTTTTTTGCTTTTTAATCTTATAAAGTTTTGGCAAATTCAAAAATTGGAAATTAAAATTTTAAAATAAATTTTTGAGTTAAAATTTTAAAACAGTATTGTAAATAAAAAATTTTAAAATTAAATTGTAAATTATAATTTTTAAATAGAATCTTTAAATTAAAATTTTAAAACTTTATTTTAAAATAGAATTGTAAATTAACATTTTAAAGTTAAATTTGATTAAAATTATCAATTGAGCAATGTTGGGTTAATTAATATGAGAAATAGGTATCGGATGTTAGAGGGATTTGCTTCCCATGGAGAAGGAATTAGAATTACTTTTTAATTTTGTTTCAAGTAAAGGGGTAATATTGTAAATTAATGGGGTAATAAATAACACCTGTTAGTATAAATATATACTTAAAAAATCGACTCAGTCTATCAGGATGTATTCAATGAATCTTTATACGCTCTGTCTTTATATCATTTACGATCTTGATTTTACGATATGTTTTTTACGATCGTTATAGTTGATTCTTGGATTATGACGCACGAATAAGACAATCGATAAATTATTACATGCAAGATATTTTCTTATACTTTGTCCTAACTTCAAATAGGGCCCTAACAAGGGCCTGTCCAGTTAAAGAAAGTGTTATTTTTACTCGTGGTATTAAAATAACACGTAACAAATTGTAAATGGCGCCATTCGTTTTATGTCTCATGATTAATTTCACAAAAAAAAATGAAAATTTTGCTCCCTTTAGAAACACATTTTAACCAGGGGTGCGATTTTGTAATTTGACTTCAATTTTAGACTCGATTTTGACTTTGACTCTAACTTTGATTTTCACTCTGATCTTGACCTTGATTTTGAAAGTCAAAGCAAAAGTCAGAGTGAAAATGAAAGTTAAAGTAAAGGTTAGAGTGAAAATGAAAGTCAGAGTCAAAATGAAGGTCAGAGTGAAAATGAAAGTCAAAGTGAAAGTCAGAGTGAAAATAAAATTCTAAGTCAAAGTGACGATCAGAGTGAAAATGAGAGTCAAAGTTAATGCCAATGTCAAAGGCAAAGTCAAAGTCTTGAAAGTGAATTTTAAAGTCAAAATCGAATCGATAGTCAAGTTATAAAATCCCACCTGATATTTTTAGAAGAGAAATCCTCGACAAATAGAAATGGAATAGAACACTTTTTGAAATCACGCACAATTTCAAAAAGTATTCCCACTGAACTTATATACGTACACAAGATATAATAGGCAAAAGGACGATATTAAAATTTCTTTTCAGAATTATAGACGCTCCTTCTTGGTATAATTATACCTCCCTAATTTGCGAATTCTCGTGAACTGTGTAGACCTTGTATTTCTTTGATCACGATTCAGACTTGCTTTATCTCTCTTTTATTTATGCGTCTTTGTGTATCTATCGGTGCATCGATTTCTTTTCGTTTTTTCCCTTTCGCAAATGAATTTCGCGCGTTGGAGCGCGCAGCTCGTGCGAGAAGAAAGTTCAGGCGTCGTTAGTCCGGCGAGTCGACCTTATCATCGACAAATATCATCGCGACATATAACCAAAAAGAGAAAAAAAAGAAAAAATAAAAAACAAAAAATACCCCAAGAGAAAAACTTGAAAACTAAAAATTATCACTTTTGTATCGTCAATAATTTTATCCTCGGGCATTGCGGTATCGATCTCGAGGAACTTCGTTTATATGCGGTATTTCGTTCGGTATTTTCACACTTCGAGTTGGAAACATTTGCTAAGAATGACAAAAAAAAGGAGGAGGGATATAATAAAAATAATAATCGAGGATCGTCACAAGAGTTTCGGTTTTAATTTAATAGGATTATACTAAATTAATGAAGTAATTTCTTAAATTAATTTAATGAATTTTCTATTGTTTTTCAATTAATTAACAAATCGAATTTTTGTTCTACACGAAACTTTACTTAAAATCAAAACCAAATTAATGATTTATCAAAAAAAATTAAAGTAATGTCTAAGTCTAAGACCAACTATGGTCCAAGTGGGTCTAAGTCTAAGTCAAAGTTTAAGATTTAGTATTAGTATTAGACTTTGACTACGACTAAGGCTAATATTATAACTAAGGCTTTGACCAAGACTTAGACTATGACATGGACTTTGATCCTGACCAAGACTTGGACTAAGACTAAAACTTTGACTAAAACTTGTACTTTGACCGAGGCTTAGACTAAGACTTTGACTTTGATCCTGACTAAGATTAAGACTTGGACTAAGACTTTGACTAAGATTTAGACTAAGACTTTGACTAAGACTTTTGAAGTCGAAGTGAAAGTCAAAGTGCAAATGAAATTCAACGTCAGAGGCAAAATCAATTTTTGGGTGAAATTAATAGTGAAAATTTCTTAATTGACAGTAGAAGTAAAAATTTTTTTTGGTGAAAGTGCAATAAGAATAAGAAGTGAAAGAGGAGGAAGAAAAAGAATAATAATGATAAAAATAATGAGAATAAGAAGTAAAAGAGGAGGAAGAAAAGGAATAATAATATTAATAATAAAAAAAAAATAATGAGAAGAAGAAGAATAAGAGAAGGAGGAAGAAGACGAAGCAGAAGAGGAAGAAGAAAAACAGAAGCAGTATGCATAAGAGTGGTAAGACGCCAGAAGGTTGCGGGGCCTCTTGGGCCGATCGCGGATCTCGGTCGCATAAATTTGTTTTAATTGCCAGCGACGTTACATTTTGCTTTAATTATGCCGCATTATCTGGGAGGTAAATTAGGTAGGTCCAGCTCTTTCGATCTGTCTCGATTCCTCGCATGGGTGCTTCTCTCTTCTTTTGCTCCCCACATCTCTCTCTCTCTCTCTTTCTTGTCATTCGAAAGAGAAAGAGAGAAGAAGAAGAAAAAAAGATCGGTGTGGACTCTCGTTGGCTCTACCTTGGGATAGGATCTATCTCCACCCTCGTCCACCTCTGCCTTCTTCTTCTTCTTCTTCCTCCCCCCTCCCTCTCTCTTTTTCTTCCTCTTACTTTCAATTCTTCCTCTTCGTCCTTCTCTCATCCGATTTCTCTACTTCTTTCAATTTTTTCCTCTTGCTTCAATCTTCGTCACCTCTCTTTCTTTCTCTTTCCCTTTTTCCTCTTTCTCTCTACGTCCTCTTCCATTTTCTCTCTCTACTGTACTCATAATATGTAAATTACAAAGTAAAAACACTATAGATTTTTTTCATCAGTCTATTATAACTTTTATTATCTTTTTACTCTTATTATATTATAACACCAAAGATGTTTTTCTTGGGATTAAATTATTCTGTGACAAATCATTTATTACTATAAA